CCCCGGTTTGTAATCTGTGTACTTTCTGAATCTGCTTCTGCCATCTGCTCCAAGCAGCTCAGTCTCTCGTTCCTGCACACACCTGGCTTACTCCCACTTCCCATCCTATGCCCCTGAACCCCCACTCAGCCCTTGATCTGCAATGTCTTCGGCTTTGAGCACTTACATCTCTCCCTGGATTTTAGGGTTCTCGCCTCAACCCCTAACTTCTTCAAGGAATATCCTCTGATGAGTTCAGAAAACAGTTATTCTCTATTTTCAGATCCCCACAAAGACCTGAGTATAAATCCTGGTCCTGCTGCCTGTTAGCAGTGTGATCTTATTTAATTATTTTTTTTTTTTTTTTGCAGTTTTTGGCTGGGGCTGGTCCGGCAAATGGGGCTGGTGCCCTACTCCTTTGAGCAACAGGCACTGCCCCTTGCTAATTAACTTAACCACTCTGAACCTCCGTTTCCTCTTCTGTAAAATGGCAGTAAAAGTATATGGTCATTAAGTATGAAATGTCCAGTTTCAAATAAAAAGTTTAGTTTATTACATCTCAAATAAGAAGCAGTACAAGTAATCTAAGTATGTATCTAAACTCTTGACACAGTTAACCACTCTGAACCTCCGTTTCCTTTTCTGTAAAATGGCAGTAAAAGTATAGGGTCATTAAGTATGAAATGTCCAGTTTCAAATAAAAAGTTTAGTTTGTTACATCTCAAATGAGAAGCAGTACAAGTAATCTAAGTATGTATCTAAACTCTTGACACAGTTTTGCCGCCTTAGCAGTAGGTTCTTTATGCCAGCAGTGAAGAAGCCTGTAGAACAACTGGTGATGAAATTTCGAAAGGCATTTTCCACAGCTTGTTGACAATTGAATATTTTTCTTTGCAAGAAGTGGTCTGAAGCCTGGAAGAAGTGGTAGTCAGTTGGTGTGAAGTCTGGTGAATACGGTACATGACAGTTTCCAAGTCCAGCTTCTGTAGTTTGAGCAGCATTGGTTTTTCTTTTTTTCTTTTTTTGGAGACAGAGTCTCACTTTATTGCCCTTGGTAGAGTGCCATGGTGTCACACCTCACAGCAACCTCCAACTCCTGAGCTTAGGTGATTCTCTTGCCTCAGCCTCCCAAGTAGCTGGGACTATAGTTGCCCGCCACAACACCCGGCTATTTTTTGTTGCAATTTGGCTGGGGCCAGGTTTGAACCCACCATGCTTGGTATATGGGGCTGGTGCTCTACCCACTGAGCCACAGGTGCCACCCATGAGCAGCATTGTTTGTGTGACATGTGGTTGAACATTGTCTTGCAAGAGGATTGTGCTGTCTCTATTGACTAACCAGCTGCTTAATTGCAAGCACCCTCATTATTCTGTCGAACTGGTCGCAGTCGCCATCCACTGTGGTTGATTGATGAGGTTTCATGAAGCTATAGTGGATAATATCAGCACTGGGCCACCAAACAGGCACCATTAGCTTTTTTGGACAAATACTCAGTTTTGGACTGTGTTTCAGCCCTTCATCTTCATCCAACCATGTGCCAAACACTTGCGATTATCAAAAAGAATCCATTTTTTCATTATGTGTTAGAATATGATGTAACCCTTCATATTGTTCACCTTTATGTTGTGACAGCAATGAAGGCGAGCTTCAAGCTCTTTTGACACTTGTTTAATTCATGCTGAACCCATCTAACTTGCCAGTTTGTTTCAAATGGTCCAGTATTGTCAACCTTGCTGCTAATTCATGCATAATTTCAGATGGATTTGCTTCTACCACAGCTCACCATTATCCACCTTGGTCCCAGGTAATCCACGTGGCTCATTTTCAAGATTAAAATCACCAGAATAGAACTTCTCAAACCACTGACGTACCGTGTGTTCGTTAGCCACAGCCTTCCCAAACACTTCATTGACATTTTGAGCTGTCTGTGCCGCATTGGTTCCACGACGGAACTCATATTCGAAAATAACACAGAGTTTTGACTTATCCATAGTTTCACAAAAATTCCTCTAAAAAAATTAAAAGATAATCATAAACCAAACACCATGCATTTGAAAGAGTAAGGATGTTCATTCACGGTAGAAATAAAATAAGAAGTGTCAAATGAAATGTTGGAGATATCAGTTGTCAAACTGAGAACTTAAGGGAATCAGACATTTCGTATTTAATAACCTAAATAATAATAATATTAATAACACAGGTAATGATAACACTCAACCTTCTTCCTTTACAGAATTGTCTATGGGGATTAGCTGAGACAGTCCTGGGACAAGCACTTTGCAAATTATAAAGTGCAATGTTAATAAAATTGCTTATTATAATTTTTGTCTGTACTCTACGTTTGGCATTACCTAATGTTACTTGGAATTTTTTGTGTTCTGAGTATCATGTCTTCTCTGGCAATTCTTTATTTTTTTTGAGACAGAGCCTCAAGCTATCCCCCTGGGTAGAGTGCTGTGGCATCCCAGCTCACAGCAACCTCCAACTCCTGGGCTCAAGCGAGTCTCTTGCCTCTGCCTCCCAAGTAGCTGGGACCACAGGTGCCCGCCACAGCACCCAGCTATTTTTTGGTTGCAGCCGTCGTTGTTTGGCGGGCCTGGGCTGGATTTGAACCCGCCACCTTAGGTGTATGTGGCTGGCGCCTTAGCCACTTGAGCCACAGGCACCGAGCCGCAATTCTTTTTTAATTGAGACAGAGTCTGAAACTGTCTCCCTGGGTAGAGTGATGTGGTGTCACTGCTCACAGCAACCTTGAACTCTGGGGCTTAAGTGATACTCTTGCCTCATCCTCCCAACTAGCGGGGACTACAGGTGCCCACCACAGCACCCGGCTATTTTTGTTGTTGTTGTTGTTGCAGTTGTCATAGTTGCCTCAGCTAGCTGGGGCCGGGCTCGAACCTTCCAGCCTCAGTGTATGTGGCTGGCGCCGTAACCACTGGGCTATGGGCACCAAGCCTTTCTTCTTATTTTATTTATTTATTTATTTTTTGAGACAGAGTCTCACTCTGTTGCCCTGGAATAGAGTGCCATGGTGACATCATAGCTCACAGCAACCTCAAACTCTTGGGTTCAAGCAATCCTCTTATCTCAGCTTCCCATGTAGCCAGGACTATAGGGTGCACCACTATGCCTGGTTAATTTTTCTATTTTTAGTAGAGATGGAGGGTCTCACTCTTGCTTAGGCTGTTTTTGAACTTTTGAGCTTAAGTAATCCACCTGCCTTGGCCTCCCAGAGTGGTAAATTATAGGAATTACAGGCTTGAGCCACCACACTTGGCCTTCTCTGGTAATTCTTTCTAGCAGTTTTGTGCAGATTTGTTTCATGGAGTTGGTTCCTAACAACACAGGGTGAGTTCCTACTGGGTCAGAGCCATGTCCTAATATTTCTGCACTTGTTTCCTCTGGGCCCCCAACCTTACCTCTCCTAAACTCAGTGCTGGCAGAAACCAGCTGACTGAGTTGATTCCACTGGGCTCAGCTCATGCAAAGAATGACCAGGAATGGCTGGGCTCGGTGGCTAACGCCTGTAATCCTAGCACTCTGGGAGGCCAAGGTGGTTGGATTGGCTGTGCTCATGGGTTCGAGACCAGCCTGAGCAAGAGCGAGACCCTGTCTCTAAAAATAGCCGGGCATTGTGGCAGGTGTCTGTGGTCCCAGCTACTCGGGAGGCTGAGGCAAGAAAATCGCTTGAGCCCAAGAGTTTGAGGTTGCTGTGAGCTGTGATGCCAAGGTAGTCTACCAAGGGTGAAAAAAAAGAATGACCAGGAACATGAGACTGATTACCCACTAGGTTACAGGAAAAATAAAGAAAAGAAGAACAAAAATTTAAAGATAAGGATCTAAAGAGTTTTCCTGAATTCACAGAGCTGGTGGGTGAACTGTCCCATTTTTCATCAGCACAGAAGTAAATATGTGAACACTATGTATTCTGGGCTTCAAGCCCTGGATAGCTTGGGGAGGAACCCATTACCTTCACTTCCCAGCTGGGGACTGGCTCCCTGTTGTTGTAGCAACAGTCCTGTTTCAGGCATTGGCGGGCTCTCTGAGCAACTATGTCCCATCTGTACCCTTCTGCCACGTTGTGGGTGGGGTCAACTGGATCCAGGATGATGGGCCTACAACACAGGAAGATGGTACCCAGACTCACTCTGGTTTGGAGAATGCAAGCCACAAAGAAGCTTTCCCAGCAATCAACTATTCAAGCCCCTGAGTACCTGCTCTGTCCAGAGCCCAGGACTGTCAGTCCAGGAGGGCCTCGACATACTGCTGGAGAAGAAGAGGATGAAGATGATCATATTTCCAAGAATTTGTCTTGGGGAGAGTATGCTATGTGTTTGCAAGGAATTTTGGAGGGTGGGGAGAGTGAGGCTTCAAGAGGCAACTGGAGCAATAACAGATGCCCACTCAGGTTGGGGGGGCTGTACAAATTAGAGGTTAGAACTGCTGAATTGCTTTGGATAGTAATAAGACTCCTATCACTGACTACTGGCATTTATTGAATGAAGCATTGGGGCAAACCCTATGTGAATTAATTTTATTTATTTATTTATTTATTTATTTGAGACGGAGCCTCAAGCTATCCCCCTGGGTAGAGTGCCGTGGCATCACGCTCACAGCAACCTCCAACTCCTGGGCTCAAGCGAGTCTCCTGCCTCAGCCTCCCAAGTAGCTGGGACCACAGGCGCCTGCCACAACGCCTGGCCATTTTTTGGTTGCAGCCATCATTGTTGTTTGGCGGGCCCGGGCTGGGGATTCGAACCCGCCACCTTAGGTGTATGTGGCTGGTGCCTTAGCCGCTTGAGCCACAGGCGCCGAGTCAGAATTAATTTATTTTAATCCCTATAAAAATTTTATAAGGTAAGGAGCATTATTATTATTATTATTATTATTATCTGAGACAAGTTCTCTTTCTGTTGCCCAGGCCAGAGTGCAGTAGCATCATCACAGCTTCCTGTAGCTTCAAACTCGTGGGCTCCAGTGATTGTCCTGTCTCCTGAGTAGCTGAGATTACAGGTTCACACCATCATACCTGGCTAATTTTTCTGTTTTTTGTAGAGATGAGTTCTTGCTATTGCCTAGGCTGATCTTGAACTTTTGGGCTCAAGTGATCCTCCTGCCTTGATTTCCCAAAGTGCTAGGATTACAGGCATGAGCCACCACACCCAGCCAGCACTATTATTGTTGTTGTTGTTATTCTTGTATTGCCGATAAGGAAACAGAGGTACCAACTTTCCTGTTCTCACAGCCAGTAGATGGAGTTCTAACCCACAATAGAGAAGAGTTTGGGCTGCCTCCAAGTGTCTCTCTTCTATATAAATATTGAATGAATACAGTATTTTTTATTTATTTTTGAGACAGATTCTCACTCCATTGCCCCAGGCTAGGGCACTGTGGCATCAGCATAGCTCACAGCAACTTCAAACTCCTGGGCTTAAGTGATCCTCCTGCCTCAGCTTCCTGAGCAGCCAGGACTACAGGCACTGGCCACAATGCCCAGCTAATTTTTGTATTTTTAGTAGAGATGGGGTCTTGCTCTTGCTCAGCCTTGTCTTGAACTCCTGAGCTCAAGGGATCCTTCTGCTCTGGCCTCCCAGAATACTAGGATTATAGGCCTTAGCCACTACACCTGCCTGAGTCTCCAAGACTCTTTCCATTTCTCATGCACCTCTAAAAAGCTCTGAAATGGTTTTCTGAGAGCAAGAGGGTTACGGAAGGTTGGAGGGGTGGCTTAGGTTAACTGGGAAAAGGCTTACACCCCTCAAGGATCCCAGTAACTTTGATAGGCCACCAATTTGAGCTGGCAGCTCAAATGTTGGTCTGACACAGGCTGTGTCAGCAGCCTTACTACCTAATAAAGCCAACATATGAAACTCTGTACCATGTTTCTCTCACTTTTCTTTCTTTTCTTTTGTGATATTTGGTGGGCAAACAGTGGTCCAGTACCTCTTTTTTATGAACTGTTTCCTGACACAGTCCTCGATGACTGGATTCTGAAATGTATAGTGCTTGGTCCAGTAGATGCAGATGAATTTATACTCCCGGAGCAATTCCATCACAGTGGTGAAACCTTCATCCAACATGAAGTTCTCTTCCTTCTGAGTACCCATTTCCCAGGCGTAGATTGTCAGCAGCTCAAGAGCATAGATGGGGGGCAGATTGGCCTTGGGGCATCCGTTTTCTACGTGCTGTTGAGAGAGATGGGAAGGGAAAGAGAGACCCTAAGATTCAGGGTAAAGATGGTGTTGGACTGGAAACTAGGAAATCTAAGTTCCAGTCTCAGTTCTGCTGCCTACTGGGTGTGTGACCTTGGCCACATCATTTTTCCTCTCTGGGCCTTGGTTTCCCCATTTTAGAATTAAGGGCCTGGGTTAGTCTTTTGGGCTTCAATATGTGCTTGACAGACCTAACTTCTGTACTGGAGTTATGAAGAAGTGTTCCAAGGAATGAACATATTGGGGTCTGCCATATGCATTTCAGCCTCAGTGGCTCCATTTAAATCTATTTTAATGTATTGAGCTTCTGAGAAAGATTTCTTTTAAATAAAGGGGTTCTTAGCTAAAGAAAACGTCAGGGAAGATGGGGGCTGCTTCTGTAATAGACATTCTTTCCTTCACTATACAAGAGACATGCTGTTTGAATGGGGTTGACCTCACCCTCAGTTCCAGGGTAAGCTCTAACTGGTACAGGCCCATCAGCATAAACATTTCTCTCTTACAAGTGTTGGTTCAAGATAAGACATGTAACCTAAGTTGGCTCAATTACAGTAAAACCTAGTTTCTATTGTTCAGTGGTTGAAAGAAGAGAAGTCTTCTTATGTGTGGATGTGAGGGCAGGAACATCTGTGGCCATTTTGCCATCAGGAAGAAAATGAGCCTATAGACCAACTTGACATATAGGGGAAAGAAAAGTTGAGAGAATTATAGTTAGAAATGGAGACAGAGTCCTCACCAAACAGTGCCTGAAGTCTCCTCCCCATGGTTAGGGATTTTCACACATGATTTGATAATTCTCTTTATTGTTTAAGCCAGCTTGAGTTGTTTTTGTGCCTTTCTGTTACTTGTAAAAGAAAAGATCTTAACTGACTTCAGTCATTTCATGTCTTAAGAATCTTGCTAAGATTCAGCTATAAGTGAAAAATTTTGTCAAATATCCAGTTGTTTAGTTTGTGGAAGCAAAATTGCCATCTTATCCTGTGGCCATTATAAATATTATATCACATCCTACAGTCAGAGAAAGAGAACTATGACTTTTTCACTTTAAAACAACCAAGCAAACAAAAACAGGGCTATCTCATCTACCTTGAGCCTTTCCTATAAATCATTGACTCACTAATGAAAACAACTTTTATCCCTGACTTTTAAATTTTTTAAAAATTAAATTCAAATTTAACTGGAGGAGGGATGAAGAGGTTGGTTAAGGTGTACAAACATATAGTTACTTAGAAGGAGTAAATTCTAGCGTTTGATAGCACAATGGGGTGATGATAGCTAATAACAATATATTGTATATTTTGGAATTACTAGAAGATTTGAAATGTTCCCCAAACAAAGAAATGATAAATATCCAAGGTGATGATATTCTGAATACCCTGATTTGATCATTACACATGCATGCATGTATCAAAATATTACATACACGCCATAAATATGTACAAATATCATGTATCAGTAAAAAACTAAAAAAAAAAGATGTGAGCCTTAGGAAAAGTGAACTCTTCATTTCTTTTAGGGTAGGCTAAAAGAAGGCTACTGTCCCATTAATAGGCTATTTAATGGGACATAAAAAAAGAAACGAGACAAAAACCTTTGTTGCCTTCCGGTGCTGATGTTCAGGGATACTGTGATTTCTTTCTTTTTTTTTTTTTTGAGACTGAGCCTCAAGCTGTCCCCCTGGGTAGAGTGCCGTGGCATCACAGCTCACAGCAACCTCCAACTCTGGGCTCAGGCGAGTCTTCTGCCTCCACCTCCCAAGTAGCTGGGACTACAGGCGTGCGCCACAATGCCCGGCTATTTTTTGGTTGCTGCCGTCGTTGTTTGGTGGGCCTGAGCTGGATTCGAACCTGCCACCTTAGGTGTATGTGGCTGGCGCCTTAGCCACTTGAGCCACAGGTGCCTAGCTGATACTGTGATTTCTTCATGTATTGGATACCTCTGACTTTCACAAGGTCGCCCTCTGAGATATGTCATGACCTTCTTAGATATGATAAGTGTGTGAGGAAATTGCTATTTTTCCACCATGAACAGAGACTATCTATAAATCTAGAAATCTGGGTAATTGTTTTTTCTTTGAACCTCTGTTACATTTTCTAACTGGATTAAGGCTTTCCTTCTGCAGTCTGATTCTCTTGTAATTTCTCTGCAAGTTTAGTTTAATACATGATTTTTTTCTCTGAATTTTGTTTTTACAGTTGAGGGTTCCACTGAGATTATCCTGGGGAGACTTAATTCCAAGAGTGACTGAACTGTGACCCTGAGAAATGTACCTTAGGAGCTGTTTACACTCAGACACACCCTCTTTTTGACTCCTAGGGTGGAATTAAATGAATGTTTAATACAAAATTTAGTTAGTCCTTAACCTGCCATGACTAGAGTACCCAGTGAAGTTGACATCAACCAGTACCAGACTGTCATTGGAGTACTGTTGACTGAAATACTGGATGTTATCTATTTTTTTCTTCTCTGTTTATTTCTCCTCGTTTCCCTCCTTCTCTCCTCCTTCTCCTTTTCCGTTTTCTTTAGCGATTCTGTCAGTTCACAGTTCAAAGACTAGCATTCTCTGTCTCTTCCCCCCCTCCTTCCCCCTGAAGCAGTTTCCTGAGATGGCAAACCTGACTCCTGCTTTTCATTGTCCCCTGCCTCCATCTCTCCCTCTTGCTCCATCTAGTCGGCCCCCTCACCTGCTGGTACCAGTGTTTAACCAGGCGCAGGAGGCTTTTCAGCTTAGTTGGCCGATATTTCACAAAGTTCCTCTGCAGCTCGCTGAAGGATGGGGAGAAATTTCCAGGAGCACCACAGGCCTCAATCAGACTCACGTAGATCTCAGGGGGTAGCTGAGATGTGATCCTCAGCTCAGAAGGCCCTGAGGACAGAGGAAGCAAGGAGAGAGAATTGAGGAAGCCCCAGGGTGAGAAGTAGTCTTTTGGGGACAGCCTGCTTATTCCTTTGAGTTATCCCTCCAGGGAGATTTGAGATCTCACATCTTTAGAAACCAAAAATCTGGCTTGCTCCATTGTCCTTTTTGTGAAATTCTCACTCTGGAGAACCAACATGGGCTTCTCATGCCTCAGACTGTTCCATGACTGTTGTCTTCCTCAGATGTCCCCAATGACCCCAGTTTTCCTTAATTTTTATTTTGAGTCTCTTTCTGGGTGATTTATTTGAACCCTTCAGTACTCAAGGGGAGAACAGGTTCCATGGTACGTATCACTTGAGTGCTTCAGTTCAGCACTTTCTTGCTAAGATGAGATTCCTTCCTTCCTTCCCTCCTTTCCTTCCTTCCTTCCCTCTCTCTCTTCCTCTCTCTTTCTTTCTTGAGACAGAGTCTCTCTCTGCTACCTAGGCTAGAGTGCTTGGCATTAGCCTAGCTCACAGAAACCTCAAACTCCTGGGTTCAAACAATCTTCCTGTCTCAGCCTCCTGAGTAGCTGGGACTACAGGCTCCTGTCACAATACCTGGCTAATTTTTCTATTTTTAGTAGAGAGAGAATCACTCTTGCTTAGGCCGGTCTCAAACTCCTGAACTCAAATAATCCTCTTGCCTCAGCCTCCCAGAGTGCTAAGATTACAGGTGTGAGCCCCCACACTTGGCCAATGGATCTCACTTCTGACACCTTCCCCATAAAGCAGTGGTTCTCAACCCACAGGAACTGTATTAAAGGACTGCATCATTAGGAAGGTTGAGAACCACTTCCATAGAGCAGCTCCACACATCCACTGCAGTTACTAGGAGCTGATACATGAGATGAAACCTCTGTTATCTGGGCTTGCAGCAGATCTGATTTACTTCAAACAGCTAGGACACCCTGCCTGGGGACAAACAATAAGTCCCAGAGAGCTAATCCCCCAGAAGCAGCCCTCAGCCAATGACTGAGGAAGTTGGTGAATAAGCACTCTAGCATCCTACCTGGGATAAGGCTGAGGTTGCTCTATGTTGTTACTTGGAGTTCTCCAGGGGCATGAAGCTCAGTTGCTCAGAGTGGTGTCACACTTACTGATGTACTTTGTACTGAACTCTTCCCTTTCCTGCCTGGATTTCCTGCTTCCCTACCACTTACTTTACTTCCCAAGTAAAATGCATGTCCTCACATCCTTGTCTGCTTCTAGGAAAATTCAAACAGTGAGAGACCCCACCCCCAGAGAGAGCGCCATATAGTAAAAGCACTGTGGTTACTGTTTAGCACCTCACTGGGTCTTGTCTCCTTCTGAATGTCACTTCCTGAGTACCCTGCAGTGACCCAGGGCATCTTATACTTTTCCTCTGAGTGCTTTGTGCCATTTGCAATCATGTATTTATCCATGTGATTGCTTGATAAAATTCTGTCTCCCAAGTTGAGTGTCACATGGCCACAGTTGAGTTAGTCCTGTGAACTATGGTCACCCAGCCCTCAGCAAAGGACTTGGGTGAAATAAATGAATGAATGCAGGTATGTGCAGCTGGCCATGAGTGAGTGAGTGGTGGGTCTCCTAAGGAAGGCAGGTGTGTGAGTTGAGTGGCCTTCCTCTCCTTACCCAGGACTCTGTAGGCAGGAATGATTCTGACAGTGATGAGTTCCATTGTCACCTTGGTCTGGATGGTGAAGGCAAGAGCATGAGGGACTCCCTTACACACCCTCAGATCACCAAGTCTGAGCCACTGCAGGTCCTGGCAATACTGCACTTTTTCCCTCATCATCCTCAGAATGGCTTTGTGGTACCTGGCCTCCTCCTGGAAGCTACGGAAACAGCTGAGGAACGCCACCAGCTCAACTTCCCTGGTGCTTCTGAGAACAGTGCCATTCCCTAAGGAGCCCACCTGCGGAATACAGAGCTGTGTTACCCTGAGGCCTGCTGCCGTGTGCCAGGCAACCCCTGGGGCACTTCCCACAAATTACCCCATTTAACACTTATGCCCCCAGAGATCAGCGGATAGTACTAACACCCCCATTTTACAGGTGAGAAAGCCAAGATGTTGAGGGGGTGAGTCACTCATCTGGGTTCTCAGCCTGACTCTAGACCCTAGGTTTCCTGTCTGCGACACCACATTGCTTCTGAACGGATGTGTGATCTATAATGTCATGCCAACTGCAGAGGAAGAGTGATGGCTACTCTAGAGGGCTGTTTATGAATCCCGGGTGGGGGGAGTGTCTGAATAATTTCATGACATTGGACAGTGGGGAGCAGGTTTGCCTGGTGGATAAGAGCCATGGGCTGTGGTATGGGGGAGCCTGATTTTGATCTTGACCCTATTCCCTGTTTCTTAGCTGAGTCCTAAGGCCTTCATCTGCAAAATGAAAGTAATGATGGAACATGAGTCAGTGGGTCGTGGGAGGATTAGGAAAAATAATCACGCCTTAAGGAAGTCAGCAATGTATTTCTCTTCCTCCTCTTTATTTAATTGACTTAGGCAATACCTCCTGCTGCCTGAGTGTCAGTTTCCCTATCTGTAACACAAGCAGCCTGAGCCTGGAGAGTCTAAGAGGGATTTTTGATGTTCTGAGATACTAGATTTTTTTCTCCAGGCCATTTCCTGTGGTATACAGAGCCCCACTCTGTATGTAGTGTCAGGAGGTGAAATTGAGAGGCAAGCCTCAGCGCGCTGGTGGGCTGCCTTTCCTGGTGGGTGGACTCACTGCACACAAACTATGACCCAGCTGTCTCAGGTTGAGGACTCCCCACGTTTGGCACCAGTGAAAGTCCTTTATGCATATTATCCTGACTGAGGTGGGTGCTGGGGTAATTATCCCCCCCACATACAGATGAGAATGAGGCAGTAGGGAGTTAATCAGCTTGCCAGGTCTCGGAGTGGCCGGAGAGTCCGAACACAAGTCATGGGTGCTTCTTATGCTTCTTGTTCCCCTGGGACCCGAAGCTGTGAGCCAGACCCTGCTTCCAAGGAGGAGTCACTCCCAGTTTTGTCCCTTCCTTTTCTATCCTCTTTCCACACCAGCATAGACACCCTGCATTTCTACCTCACAGGAGGGGGTGGGGATGGCTTTGTCTAAACTGCCCTTTCTGCCTTTTCCAGTGATAAGATGCAGGCAAAGAGGAAAGAACAATCCAGAACAGTCTTTCCCAGCTTGCTTTAGTTTGAACCTGTTTACTCTCAATTTATTTAAAGTCAAGCACTCCCTCCTGTCGACAAGCTCAGCTCAGTAGATTTTCAGCAGGTAGAGAGGAGGGAAGCTTACAGTCCAAATAAAAAAATATTATTCCTCATTAGTCATGGTGCATGGGTATTGTGTCCATTTCATGGTTTTGGGAGAGAGGTGACTACAGTCTGCAGGGAGAATTTGAGGCTTGGGTAAGTACCATTTCCTGCCATTAACTCATTCTGTTTATAGCATCCTCCTCTCCTCAGACACCGCCTTCCCCATCATGTGTACTTTATTCTCAGGTTGCTGGGGGGACTGTGCCTGGGAGGGTCTGCCTGAGTCAGACTGGTGCCCCAGGCCCAGAAGCCAGCTTGGGCAAGAATTACAAGGATGCTTCTGGTTTGTAGGCATTTACTGTGCACGGGTCATTCAGCCTGCATTGCCCTATTTGCTTGATGAGGGAGAAATGATGTCATCATTGATGACAATGATGGTGGCACTGATGACAATGATGCTACCAGTTACAAATGAGACGACTGAGGGTTTGAGAGAGAGGATGGTAAAATCAAGGCCACACAACTGGTGAGGGGAGAAGTCAAGAGTGTCTGAAGTCAAAACTTGTGGTTTCTCACTTCTAAATCATACAGCCTCAGGCTATGCTACTGATAGGCTAGGTGTGAAGAAGGGATGGGGCTTCTAGATCTTAGATAGGCCTTTTCGATCTTTCTGTGAGTTGGTTGCCCCTAGAGTGAGAAGTAGAGCAATGGGCTGGGGGTTAGGAGTCCTAACTCTAGTCTTGCTTTTGCCAACAACTTGTTATGTGACCTTGGGTCTCTTACCCTCTTTGTGCCTCACTTCTCTTAGTTTTTAAGTGAGAGATTGGTTGAGACTATTTGATTCTCCAGGGCCTTTCTAGCTCTGAGTTTCAATCTTATCTAACCTAAGAGGTGGCATGAAGCAGCTGAAGGAAGGGGTTTGGAGAAAAATCTCAGTAAGGGGGAGCTCAGATCTCTGGCTGTGGAGTCAGGTTCAAGTTGCAGCTCCAACACTAGCTGCGTGATTTGGGGCCAGTCACCTCACCTCTCTGAGCTGCTATTAAAAAATCTTTTTATTGCTTGGTGTCCATAGCTCGGTGCTTAGGGTGCCAGCCACATACACCCAGTCTGGTGGGACCCGATCCCGGCCTGCTAAACAACAATGACAACTGCAACAAAAAAATAGCCAGGTGTTGTGGTGGGCGCCTGTAGTCCCAGCTATTTGGGAGGCTGAGGCAAGAGAATTGCTTAAGCCCAAGAGTTGGAGGTTGCTGTGAGTTGTGATGCACTCTACTGAGGACAACATAATGAGACTCTTGTCTAAAAAAAAAAAAAAATCTTTTTATTGGTAAGGTGCAGTGGCTCACGCCTGTAATCCTAGCACTCTGGGAGGCTGAGGTGGGTGGATTACCTGAGCCCAGGAGTTCAAGACCAGCCTGAGCAAAAGCAAGACCCCTTGTCTCTACTAAACATAGAAAAACTAGCAGGGTGTTGTGGCAGGTGCCTGTAGTCCTAGCTACTTGGGAGGCTGAGGCTTGAGCCCAACCGTTTGAGGTTGCTGTGGGCTATGATGCCATGGTACTCCACCCAGGGCACAGAGGAAGACTTTTCTTTCAGAACAACCCAAAAAACAAACACCTTTTTGTTTTCAAAAATTTTAAGACTATAGAAAAATAGAAAGGAAAAACAATGAACACTCATATACCCAACAAGTAGGATTCAACAAGTCTAAATTCCTTGCCACATTTGCTTCATCTAAACTACTTTAAAGTAAATTATAGACATCAAGGAACTTTGTCCCTAAATACTTCAGTGTTTATGTCCAAAAAAAGAGAACATTTTCCCCACAAACACAAAATCACTATTACACCTAAACAAATCAACAGTGGTTCCCTTACATATCACCTAAAATCTGGGACATTGTAAAATTTCTCTAATAAAGGCGGTGCCTGTGGCTCAGTCAGTAGGGTGCCTGCCCCATATACCGAGGGTGGCAGGTTCGAACCCGGCCCCAGCCAGCTAAAAAACAGCAATGAGAATTGCAACAAAAAATAGCCAGGCGTTGTGGCAGGCGCCTGTAGTCCCAGGTACTTGGGTGGCTGAGACAAGAGAATTGCTTAAGCCTAGGAGTTGGAGGTTGCTGTGAGCTGTGACAGCACAGTACTCTACAGAGGGTGACAGGGTGAGACTCTGTCTCCAAAATAATAAATAAATAAAATTTCCTTAATAGCCTCCAAATTGTATTTTACAGGTGGTTTATTCACACCAGGATCCCATCAAAGCCCCTGCGTTATATTTGTTTCCTTATAAATCTTAGGCCTCTGAGCCTTTTTTTTTTCTTTTTTTTTTTTGGAGACAGAAAAGCTGTCTCCCTGGGTAGGGTGCCGTGGCGTCATAGCTCATAGAAACCTTCAACTCTTGGGCTCAAGCAATCCTCTTGCTTCAGTTTTTCTATTTTTAGCAGAGATGGGGGATCTTGCTTTTAGCTCAGGCTGGTCTCAAATCTGTGAGCTCAAGCAGTCCACCTGCCTCGGCCTCCCAGAGTGCTAGGATTACAGGCATGAGCCACCGCATCCGGCCCTGAGCCTTCATTTTGCTCATCTGTAAACTGGGGAAAGAATAGTACTGGACGGATGTGATGGCTCACACCTGTAATCCCAGCACTTTGGGAGACTGAGGCAGGAGGATTGTTTGAGGCTAGGAGTTCAAAACCAACCTAGGCAACATAGCAAGTTCCCCTTTCTAAAAAACTTAAAAATAAAAAAAAATTATCCAGGTGTGGTGGTATGTGCCTCTAAGACCAGCTACTCTGGAGGCTGAGGCAGGAGGATCACTTGAGCCCAAGAGTTCAAGGTTGCAGTAAGCCATGATCATGCCAGTTCATTCCAGCTTGGTTGATGGATCAAGATCCTGCCTCTAAAAAAAACAAAAAAAACAAAAAAAACAAAAAAACCCCAAACTTGTAAAATGAAAAAAAAAAAAAAAGAATAGTACAGAGCACAAGAATTAGAGATGATATATGTTAAAGGATTAGGCTTGTGTATCCCCAAATGTGAGCTGTTACTATTAGATCTGCTGTGCTCCAGGCAGCAGCATCGAGGGGTATAGACAGTGAGGTGGGGTGGCGTGTCCTGAGATGTCAGTCTCACAGGCTAGGGATGAGGGGCCCAGGGGTCCCCGGCGTCCTCAGGGATGTGGTCTTAATGTCTCTGAGGTTTTGCCCTGCCCCGGCCAGGGGAGGAGGGGCCCAGACTCACCTTGACCACCTTCAGCACCCGCACCTCCCGGTCCAGCTCTTCCTCCCCGTAGAAGCGCTCATGCCTCAGGAACTGTTCCACGGTCTGCACCACCTGCAGCACCTCTTCCTTCCACTCCCGGCAGGACTGCAACTGCTGAGAGACGAAGGAGTTCAGCTTGGAGGCTGGCGTGTAATACAGCGCCTGCATCGCTGCCATCTCTGTTCTGAGAGCATCACTGCCTCCATATATAGAGCCACTCGTACACCAAGCCCCTGGCATACACTCCCTTTTTTAAGGGGGTTACTCCTCTGCTGACCTCCAGCACCCTGTGGGTTAAAGGATTGGAGTGGAGAGAGAGGAAACCAGGTGTGACCGGGCTGGCAACCAGGTGTGACTGGGCTGACTTGGGGGTCCCCTCCTCCGAGACCCCTTTTTGGGGTAGAGGTGCGGATAGACACTGGGCTGAGGTTGCACCATCTGTTGCCACCTTAACAGAACTGGCATCTGGCCAACCTTTCTGCTGTTGGTTTCGATTCTCAACTTTTAGAGTTTCCCTTTTGTGACGTTTGGAAACTGAAATGGCTAGTGTTTGACTATGGGAGGCAACTCAAGTTGGATGGTGAGTCAACCCAACTTATCCAGGGAAACTGAGGCTCAGGAAAAGAAGGGACTTGCTCATGGTGAGGGTGAGGTGGCAGAACTCTGGAGTGGGACAGAAAGGACTTTGAATCCCAGCCTGCCTTCTGCCAGGCTCTAGCCTCCCCGAGCCTCACATTCACTACTCACAAAGTGGGTTTAACATTAATGATCCGTTTATTGAGTGCCTGCTGGGGGCTGGACATTGCACTAAGAAGACAAAATAAGACAGGGTTCCTGTCTCAAGTAGCTCCCAGAGTAGTGGGGGGGACAAATAGAAGAAAAGAGACTCTCAGCGTCCAATGTGATGTGTGCTCAGTAGGAAGAAGCACACAGAAAACTGCACGGTGGGTAGAAGAATTTCATGTGGTGCCAGCAGACACCTGCTTAAGGACAGAGGAGGGAGAGGGCACAGCACAGGTAGAGGCTGAGAAGTGTGAACGATCCTGGTGCCTGCCAGGGGCTCAGGTGAGCTATACCCGTCAGCATGAGAGGGGAGTGTGAGAGATGTACCTGGACAGGTGGGCAGGAGTTGACTCTTGGAGGGTTATTTATTCATTCATTAGCTAGTTCTTTCATTTGACAAACACTTAATGAGCACATACTCATTGCCAGTACATGCTGGGATACGACAGTGACCAGACAGAAATCCCTACCTGCAGAGTGCTAACTTTCTAGTAGTGAAGACAGACGACAAACAGGATAAATAAGTAAAATTGTAGTAAAGGAGGTGGTGATAGGTGCTCGACAGAAAAATAATGCAAGAAAAGGGATTTAGAGGTCCCACGTGGGGGGCACGTGTTTAGGGTTCAGTCTCACCTTAGGTGGTTAGAGAAGATCTACCTGAAAAGGAGACTTTTGAGCAATGACATAAAGGAGGTGAAGAGTGAGCCACATATCTAACAGGGGGAAGAAGATGCTTCATGGCAGAAGGAACTGCAAGTGCAAAGGTCCTGTGGTGGGTAGAGTGCCTGGCTGGTTTGGAGTGCACCTTGAATGGAATGACTGAATAGGAGTGCCTGGCTGGTTTAGAGTGCACCTTGAATGGAATGACTGAATAGGACAAGGTTTGTGTACTAAAAAGAGGTGAGGAAAGTGGGTGGGATCTTGAAGATGACTGTTGAGACTCTGGCTTTACTGTAAATGAAATGGGGAGCTTTCGAGAGTTTTGAGCAGAGGAACGGCATGTCTGTCTTTCATTTTAACAGGGCCAGTCACGCTGGCGGTGAGGGGGTTGGGAAGGAGAGAAAGTCAATTCAAGGAAGATTATTACATTGATTACTAATGTGGGCAACCGGGGCTCAATTCCACTGGGACCCTCTGAAGAGCTGTGTAGTGTCTTAAAATTGTCCACCCGAGAGGTGGAAGAGGGGATGCTGGTTCCTGTATTTCCATTGGTTAAGGGTTGGCCCATAGGGTGGTAACTTCCTTGAATTTCCAGGCTTGCTCACGTATCACAGCAGTTAAGTGGGAACCCACAGATGCTTCTTCTGAGAAAGCAGAGACTACCTTGTGGAAAGCAGGGACATTTCCCTCGTCATTTGGAAAGAGATTATTGGATAAAATGCTTAATAACAATGGGTAAAACAATGCTCTCAAATTCTCCCCATCCCTGCACGCACACTCCTCTGCCACGTTGACTTTACAATTTCTCTCAACAAGAAGTAGAGCCTATTTCTCCATTCCTTGAAGCAGGACTTGGATGCAGCTTGTTTTGGCCAATGAGACATTAGCAAATGTGATGCAGGCAGAGGCTTAACAAGTGCATGCCTATTGGGACTTGGCTGCCTTCTTGCTGCTTGTAGAACTCAGCAGACACATGCACAAGCTCAGGCCAGCCTGTTGGATCATAAACACCTGGTTAAACACAAGTATGGACTAGCAAGGCGGGGCGCTGGGAGAGGAGAAAAGGGAGGAGGGAGGTTGATTGGCAGAATCTCACCTAATGTGCCCAATGTGAGGGTATTCAGCAGGCTCACTGTGTGAAGGGCTCAACTACAGCTTGAACTTTACCTTAGAAATGAAAGCAATGTAACCTGGACATTGTACCCTCATATCAATCTAAAAACAAACAAACAAACAAACAAAAAAAACACCTGGTGAAGGCATCCTGGTTTTCTCGGTGGAAACTGAATGAAAAGCCAAATGTGTAAGTGGGGCTGGTGCAGACCTCCAGCTGCAGGTGAACCAGATCAGACCAGGAACTCTGTTCAGCCAATTCACAGAATCACTGAGCAAATAAATGGGTGCTGCTGGGTGGTTCGTTACGCCGTATAAACTAACACACCCTTTGGTATCATTTGGACTCCAGGATCCATATGATAGTTAATTTTTGTGTCGACTTGACTGGGTTAAGGGATGTCCGGATGGCTGGTAACACATTGTTTTGGGTGTGTCTGTAAGGGCGTTTTCAGAGGAGATTAGAATTTTAATTAGTAGACTGAGTAATGAAGATCTGCTCTTACATGAGTGGGCATCATATACTCCTTTGAGGGCCTGGAGAGAACAAAATATGAAAGGGCGAATTCATGCTCTCTCATCAGGAGTTGGGACTTTCATCTTCTACTGCCCTCAGAGATCAGAACTCCATGTTCCTGGGACATCAAACTCTGGGACCTCACGTTCTCAGGCATCCAGACTTACACTGAAACACACTGCCCTGACTTTCGGGCTTTCTAACTTGCAGACAACTTATCGCGGGGCTTTTCAACCCCCATAGTCACAAGAGCCAGTTCCCATAATAAATTTCGATCTATATATCTGGTTAGTTCTGTCTCTCTGGAGAACCCTGACTAATATAACCCAGCTGTGCCTTATGTTAGCTTACCCTGGACTCTTAAGGGCCCTTACATTCTATCTATTTCTGCTTAAACTAATTCGAAGTGGGTCTCTGTCACTTACAAACCCAAAAGGTCCTTTGCATCCAAGAGTGAATGGATTTTCAGGACGAATGAGCAGAAAGTTGAAGACATTTGCTAGGGAGTCATTGGCAGGCTTGACCATGGGGTACAGGCTGGAGAGAAAAGGAAGTAAATCCAGGGTGTAGAGAGAACATGTTGAAGGGTCAGCAGTTCTAGATCCTTCCTCCCCGGAACCTCAGGGTTTCCTTCTCTGAATCTCTTCTTGGAGCTGGATCAAATTCACGGGGCTCCTCCTGCTCTCCTCCAGTGAGACTGGGTTCATGTTGCCTAAATTCACCTGGTTTCTGCAGACCCCTAGAAATATCCCCAATTGTGAACACTCTCCTGTTTAAAGGAAGGCAAAAGAGGGAGTCCCTTCTTTAACCATCATTATAATTCACCTCCTTGCATTCAGGCAAAACAGCTCAGTTGGGCTTGTGGATCTTAGGCATGTTTCCCTGTGGTAGCTAGAGCACCATGGAATGGAGCCACATCTGGTCTTAAGCCTACCCAAAGGGAATGCTGATTCTGCTAGTCCATGCTTTGAGAAACAATAATTTAGAAGTTTGAGTGTTGAAAGATGAGAACATGGAGGGAAGGGATGGAGGAATGAACAAGGGCTAGATGGTCAAATATCTCAAATGCCAAGGAAAAGAACTTGAACTTTATTCTGTAGGTAGTGGGGAGCCACCAGAGGATTCTAAGCAAGGGAAAGGGTACGTTCACATTTATGCTTCAGAAAGAGAGGAGCGGGGTCAGGGAACAGGACCATAGGAGTCTACCTCATGGGCAACCAGACCACAGGCCCCCAGTACAGGTTGTTTGTCCTGGCCTAATGCCCATAATCCTGGCTTCTCCTAATGAGCATGATGGTGTCACAGTCTTCAATCTGCAGGTCTGCCAGGCTGCGACGATTCTGCAGTTTCCGACCCTGGAACTTCAGTATCTGATTTTCCACACAAGGTCCTCCAGCTTCTTCAATCTTCTCTTTCAAGTCACGAATGGAGTCACTAGGGTCAATGGCATAAGGTTTGCTCTGGCCACTAGACTCCTTTACGAAGACCTGGATCTCAGGAGGGAAGGTCTCTATCACTCGGACGTTCACGTTTGAGAAGATCCCATAATCTGCCAGGGTCAGCCGGCTGCTAAGAAGTTGCCGGTCCCCTCCTGGCTCTTGGAAAGAGACACGCTGCTGTCCACTGAAGCCAAACTCTCTCTTGATTTCTGTCTTCATTTTCCAGATGGGGTTGTAGGGGTTCACTGATAGTGTCCAGGCCTTCTTCCCTGTCTGTTTCACTGTCACCAGGATGTTCCTTGCTCGCTGGAAGGGAAGGAAGAGCAGACAAAACTATCTATCTGGGCAGTCCTATAAGTTATCTACAAAGCCTCCTGCTGGCTGCTGGTAATGTAGTTTATCACCTACTGAGATACTTCTAAAACTAATAATTGTGTGAGATGACAGGCAGAAACCAGGACTGTTCCAGGGAAAGGTTGTCTGGTTACCTCAGAATCATTGGGTCAAACTGTCCTCTGACTCCCTGTAACTAGAGTA